AATTTAATTACAAAATAAATGTAACTGTAATCTGTAATTAAATTACAGTTACTTATGAAAATGTTAACGAATACAAAAGGGGTTACATCTGAATAAGTATTAATATACTATTTCTTGTTATGAATTTAAATCTGTATTTAATATTGATCTCAAAGTAAAAAGAGGTGCTAAAGTCTGATTTTGTGGTGGCTGTGCTTTAAAATTAAATGATTCTAATCTTAATTCAGGGGATGAAGGATTTTGAAAGTCTGACAGTAATCAGTGTTGAGTACTACTGTAAGTTTAACCCTATCTGGTTTAAATTCTTCAAAATGATTAACAGTTGAAAACATTGGTTAGAAATTTAGAAAAGTAATCAAATGTAAATTAATAAAGTAATTGAAATAGTTACACTACTTGTGACATTTTAAATAGGGTAACTTGTAACCTGTAACCTATTACATTTCCAAAGTAACCTTCGCAACACTGTTCATATGTCATCGTGGCATGCTCAGTCATTTAGTGAAGCGTGTGTGTCTGAGACACTGTTTGTTAGTGAGGTCATTTTGTTGTCTGTAATTACCAAGTCTTTTAGCTCAGTAATAAGAACGCCAGGGTTTTGTTTACAAGCAAAGCTATCGGGGTGCAGTGCAGTGAATGCACATTTGTAGTGGCTTAATGTTACATGTAAATTTGGAGCAAGTGGTAGTGAGCTGATGTTTGGCTTTAGCGTTCAATGCATTATGGTAATGTGCCATTAAATTGCTTATGCTCTCTATGGATTTGTGACGTGAGGATAGAGAAAGGTGGAAACAGAAAAGGAAAGGCTTGCAGCCTGGAACTCTGATGAGGAGTGAAATAATGGAAAGGGAATGAGAGAGAGAGTTGCTTTCATGCCTGTGAGTGAGTTAAACTGCCTGTTTTTTGACCTTCATCAAGATCAAAATCATAACACGGATTGATGCCGGAACACACGCACACACAGAAATCAATTACATTAAGCTATATCAGATAGCTTCTGAATGTGGTTATTGCATTGTCCATCCATTTTCTTCTCTGATTTCATTGTATTTCCTTCTCTGTGGTGTGTATTTGTGTTTATGCAGGAGTAAGGCCCAGTTAGGACTAGACTAGTTTTCCCAGCAGAAGTCAGGTAAATTTATGTTTCAGGAATGTACTTTGTGTATATTTTAGTCCCGTTTTAAGTTTATAATGATAAAAATCCACCCAGTGTTTTTTTAAAAGTTGTTTTAAGACCTGTATATCGTTTGCTTTGTTCCGAAACAGGGACTTAATTTGTTACAGTGTTGCATTTTCTTCTTGGTTCGGTTCGCGTTCACAAGGCAACATTGCAAAGTTGTGTTTATGCATGTCACATGTGATTAAAGATGTCCTCTTATTGGTCAGAGTTCACCTGTTAACATTCCTCTGCGTCATTCATCAGATGAAATGACAAGTTCGCTCCGCGGGCTTATTGTGGCTTTATAGCTGTCCTGGCATACGCAATCACTTATGAAGGTAGCCATTACTCCCGCTCTCAGTAAGTTAACCGCTGACTAACCTCAACATTAACAACAACATTGAAATAAGAGTGCATGCTTTTTACGTGCGTCTGACTGACACTCCCGCTCTAATATATCCATCTATATATAATTATATTTTAAGATTTTATATA